TTTTTCTTTTATATAGAAGTGATACACACATTTCAAAAAACTTAAAATGGCAGAGAAGACTACCTTTCTTTTCCTCAAGCCTACTACTCTCTAGAGTCTACTGCCATTAAGTTTATTTTTAATTACTGTTTTGACTTAAAAAAATACTTCCCTATTCTCAAATTTATTAGTATTTAAACATTTTTGACTTTGACCTCTGAAAAATAGCAAGATTAGTATGTTTATACTTTAAGCCCTCAACTATCTTCTCCCTCCAGGATTTTTTATTAGCAGTGTCTCTTAACTCCCTCTTATCATAGGTGAGGAATTTAGGGCAATTGTGCTTTTAGCTTTCCATTTGTCTTCTTGCTTCCTTTTTCAGGTGGTTATCTTATTATTTTTACTCTGTGTGTCTGCTTTTTATATAGCATAATTCTGCAAGTTGAAAACCAAAAATTGATTCATTTGTCCATTCAGTTTATAAATATTGATTCATTAATATTGGAGTACTCCAGGGCCCTGAACTTGGGCCTCTTTTCTGTCTGAACAGATTCCAAAGGAGATTGCATCCAATTTTGTGGTTTTAAATTCCATCTGTATACTGACTCCCAGTTTACATTTCTAGCCTTCCTCTAGCCTGATATCTCCCTTTCAAACTCACATCTGCATGTTCAACTGCCTCCTTGATATCTCTATTCACATGTCTTACTGGTGTCTCAAAGTGAACTAGTCTAAAAAGAGCTCCTGATATCTATCCCTTTTGTCTCCAAGTCTTCCTACAATGTACTGCATATCTGTTAATAGCAGCTTCATTTTTTAGTTGCTTAGGGCAAAAACTCTGAGTTCCTGTCTCTCTTTTTGAAACACACCTTTTATCTGGTTCACCAGTAAGTCCTTTGGTTCTATACTCAAAGCATATAAAGAATTTGACACTATTCACCTTGTCTTCAACAACTATTCTGGTGCAAGCCATCTTGGATTATAGCAATAGCCTCTACTTTGTAATCTAGTCTATACTAGCAGCCAGAGTGATCCTGCATAAGTCATATCCTATCATTCTTGGCTTTCCTTTGAGAAGTAGCTTCCCATCTCATTCAGAGTCAAAGTCCTTCATCCTTTGAGTCTCTTTATGATTTGGAACTTAGTTATCTTTCTGTTCTCTTTGCTAACCACTCTTATTCTACTTGCCATAGTAGTCTCTTTGCTATTCAGACATGCCACATGTTCTTACATGGATCTTTGTACTTGCTTTCTCCTTTTCTGCTTGGAAGGGTCTTCTAGGCATTTGGATGGCTTACCCCATCATGTTACTAAGATCTTGACTCACTGTCATCTCAATGAAGCCTAAAGGCCTTTCCAGGTAGTACTATCTAAAATTGTTTCCTAGTCTTGTGACATGGCAAATACCTCCCCCTTCCTGTTTTTTTCTTCTTGGCACTGATTACTATTTAATATACAACATATTGTAATTGCTTAATTTAAAAAAATTAATCAGGTCAGGTTCATTGAGGAGTTACTACATGTATGTCAAGCAAGAAGAAAATTAATAAAGGGAATTAGATGCTGATAAATATGTTGAAAAAGCTGGGAGTGTGGATAATGGAAGGTTGTTTGCAGCTTTCAAACTGTTGCTGATGATTTATAGCTGCCTGGTGGTACCAACATGGGTAGCTGGCTGGGGAGCATATGATGATTGCTGTACACTTCATGTCTGTGAAGGCGACATGTCTGTTCACTGCCACCAGAAGAAGAATGTTCTGGTTTCTCTTTCTCTTCTACCTTCCAAGTATTGTGCAAATGCGTTGCACTGACTGAAAGGCAAGTATGAAATTTGCAAGGCAGACTGACAGGCAGGAAACCCAAGGAAGAGTTGATGGTGCAATCTTGAGGATAAAGGCAGTGTGGAGGCAGAATTTCTACTTATTTAGAGAACCTCAGGTGTTTTTTTTTTTTTTTTTACACCTTCAACTGATTAGATCAGACCCACTCACATTATGGAGGGTAACCTGCTTTACTCAAAGTCTGCTGTTTTAAATTTTAGTCATCTACAACTATCTTTATAGCAACATCTATGCCAGTGTTTGATCAAACGACTGAGTAACATAGCTTATTAGCCAAGTTGACACATAAAATTAACCATCAGAGTCTATGCCTTATCAACTTGGCATCCATACATATCCCCTTAAACCATAAATATTATGGGCTGAATTATTCTCTACCCCCACAAATTCATATTAAAGTTCCAACCCCCAGCACCCCAGAATGTGACTGTATTTGGAGATAGGGTCTTTCAAGAGGTAGTTAAGTTATAATGAGTTATTAGGGCGGGCCTTAATTCACTATGACTGGCGTCCTTATGAGAAGAGGAAATTTGCTCACAGACATATACAGAGGGAACACCATGTGAAGACACTGGGAGAAAATTGCTGTCTACACGCCAAGGAGAGAGGCCTCAGAAGAAACCAAAGCTGTTGGTGCCTCGATCTTGGATTTTTAGCCTCCAGACTTGTGAGGAAATAAAGTTCTGTTGTTTAAGCCGCCAAGTTTGTGGTACTTTGTTATGGCAACCCTAGCAAACTAATACAATAGTTGATCTCCAAATAAAGACAAGGTCATCTTGTATGCAATGCACTCTTTTCCCAGAAGAGGATGGAAAGTCCTTGGGTGATGTTCACTTTCTTGTTATCCTATAACTTAAATACTATGATGTAGAGTTAGAGATACTTAAATACTATGATATAAAGCCAGTCCATCTTATGTTATATGTTATTCCCTTATGGAATAAGAAGGGAAGAAAACAAAGAAGTTGATACACAAACATGTTCATTAAAAAAAAAATACAGAAATTAGACTTGAAAGTGAAAATTACTTCTTGATCCAGGGGCTACACAATGGATGTTACACTAGCGTCATGAAAACATTAATCCCCTTGTTCATCTCCATCAAAGCTCTTGGGTGACCAGGTGCATTGTCAATGAGCAGTAATATTTTGAAAAGAATCTTTTTTCTGAGTGATAGGTCTCAACAGGGAGCTTAAAATATTCAGTAAACCATGCTGTAAACAGACGTGCTGTCATCTAGGCTTTGTTATTATAGAGTGCAGGCAGAGTAGACTTACTTAACATAATTCTTAAGGGCCCTGTGATTTTTGGAATGGTAAATGAATATTGGCTTCAACTTAACGTTAGAAGCTGAATTAGCCCCTAATAAGAGAGTCAGTCTGTCCTTTGAAGCCAGGCATTGAGTTCTCCTCTCTAGCTATGAAAGTCCTACATGGCATATTTTTCCAATATAAGGCAGTTTTGTCTACATGGAAAATATATTATTTAGCGTAACCACCTTCCTCAATGATCTCAGCTAGATCTTCTAAATAACTTGCTGCAGCTTCTCCATCAGCACTTGCTATTTCATTTAGTACTTTTATGTTATAGAGATGGCTTCTTTCTTTAAACCTCATGTCTGTTAGTTTCAGACTTTTCTTCTGAAGCTTCCTCACCTCACTCAGCCTTCATAGCATTGAAGAGTGTTAGGGCCTTACTATGGATTAGGATTTAAGGGAATTTTGTGTCAGGGTTAATTTTCTATCCAGACCATTAAAACTTTCTCCATATCAGAAATAAGGCTGTTTTGCTTTCTTACCATTCATGTGTTCACTGGAATAGCACTTTGAATTTCTTTTTAAGCACTTTTCCTTTGCATTCACAATTTGGCTATTTGGTGAAAGAAGCCTAGCTTTCAGCCTATCTTGGCTTTTGATGAGCCTTCCTAACTAGGCTTAATAATTTCTGGCTTTCGATTTAAAGTGAGAGACATGCAACTGTTCCTTTCACTTGAACACTTATGAGGCCATTGCAGGGTTATTAATTGGCCTAATTTGAATTTTGTTGTGTCTCAGGGAATAGGGAAGGAGAGAGACAGGGAAATGACTGCTTGGTGGAGCAGTCAGAACATACACAACATTTATTATGTTTGCCATTTTATATGGGTGAGATTTGTGGCTCCCTAAAACAATTATAATAGTGACATCAAAGGTTGCTGATCATAGATCACCATAACAGATACAATAATAATAGAAAAGTTTGAAATATTGTGAGAATTATCAGATGTGACAGAGACATGCAGTAAGCAAATGCTGCTAAAAAATGTCACTGATAGACTTGTTCGATACAGCATTGCCACAAACCTTTAATTTGTTAAAAAACCAAAACAAAACAAAAATGCTATAGGCAAAATGCTGTAAAGCAAAGTGCAATAACATGAGGTATGCCTGTGTAAAAGCAACACATATTCATTGTAAAGATGGAAAAATATAGAAGCATAAAGAGTTATTTTATATATAATGTTCCATCGTTTGCTTTTTCTATATAGTCTTCTTTCCAGTTTAGTATATACAGATCTACCTCATTTAAAATAAATTACTTCATGATATTCTGTTGTATGTCTATAATAAAATTTAAGGAAGCACCTAATGATTGACATTAATGTTGTTTCAGGTTTTTCTCATGATACCTATTACTTTGTTGCATGTGTTTGTTTATATATCTTGTGCATTTATATGACTATATCTGTGGAAAAATTTCTAGCTTTGAAATTTCTGGATGAAAGCATAGATGTGTTAAATTGTTCTCCAAAAACCTTGTCTTGATTTATATTTTAATCACAAAAGTATATGAGAATATATTTTCCTGCATTCTCTCCTATATTGAATTTTACCATATTTTTCAGGTTTTACCAATGTAATAATGAAACACTTATTTTATAAATTGTAAATAGATTTGAGTGTCTTTTCAAATTTTGGACAATCTCATGTGTTTAACCTCATTGCTATTTCTCTTCACTTGGAATATTTTTTCTTCTTTCATTTTTTTCCAAATCTTTACCACTTGTCAAGCCCACATCAAAATTTGTTTTTCTATTATTGGATTTCCCAGTAAGCTCAGCCTAAAATGATTTATCCCTGCTTTATTTTCTACTTATTGCAATTTTATACCAGTCCTAATGCTTCTGATTTATTCTTCTAGGATTTGCAGATTTACAGAATGGCCAAATGTTAATGGAAAGAGAAGCATAAACCTATCTTCTTTCATTATGGAGACAGGCTTGGCAGATGGAGAGCCTGACCGAACTTCGGTGAGTAGAACAAATATAGCATAGTAATTCCGCTCCATCTCCTTCTATTCTCCCTACCTTCCCAGGCATATGGTATAAAACACATTGATAGTTTGTGTTTGTTTTCTCCCCAAACCTTTGTCTTTAGTGAAATCAAGAGAGTGTTAACAATTGAGGAAATTAAATGCCTCCATATCTCAAATCATGTGGAACTATGAGCAGGTAGAGGGAATGGAACAGTTAAAATAATTAAGAAATAAGAACAATTATCATATATATTCTTTCCATTAAAATATAAAGGTTTCATAAACATTGTTGCCCTGTGATCATGATTGAATTATATTCTGAAATTAAAATACATAAGTAGGGGTAGTGGGTAAAATATACCTTACCCAATGAATTTTAAAAAAATCACCAGTAGGGTAGATTAAATGATTTGCCATTGTACAAAAAAGATTTTGCTGCAGAATAATTTCATTTTTGGTTCTTGTTGCATTTTGAATGATTTTGTTAAATACTGATTTATAGATTCTCTATTAGAAATGTTTCTGTTACCTAAAGTAAAGGTGCCCCTCAGTAAAATGTAGTCAGCTGGCAGCTTTATCATTTGTTAGGTGGCAGATTATTTGACAAATTTATATTGTTGGAATGAGGTGAAGGTCAACTTTTCTTTCTTTTCTTATTGCTATGGAGTTGAGAATCACTATTATATTGAGGTATTTGTGAATTTAGTGAATGTCCTTTGTTCAGCCTCCAACATTAGATTGTAGGAACAATCTAATGATTGATAGCAAAGTGCAGTTTTGCTGCCTTGTATTAACTTGGTCCCAGCCTTTCTTGAATTTCTGGTTCAGACTTGTTTTGGGTTCTTAAATGATCAAAAAAAGTTAAACTTTAAAATGGTAACTTGTTAGTAGAGAGTAAAATGGGCATTGAAATGACTTGGCTTATGAACATTATTGTCATGTTTTTTATAAATGGAAAACTGATGGTAGGCTATATTAATTTTACTATAGTTTCAGAAAAAAGTTAAGATTAAACCTTATCTATAAAACATGATATTTACCATAAACTTCATCTTTCTTTTTAAAGCTTAATGGACTGTCTTAGGTTCTTTTACTCGAAACATTTTTGATCTTCTAGTTATAATAAAAATGTCAGTAATAATTATGGTTGCTGTTTTCTAAGTGTATACTTTGTCAGACTGTCCTTATAACAGCCATTAAAGGTAGATTTTTTTTTTATTCTTTTATAGATAAAGAAATAGGTGCAGGGAGGTTAATTACCTTCTCTAAGGCCTCACAGTTTACGTTGTGGAACTGAAGTCTGTCTGTCTCTGAATACTTTACCCCTAAGATGTTGACTACATATCTATTTTTCTGAATAGAGTTGATTGGAATTTATTACTACCTTTTAAAGTAGATATCTAAGTAAATGGTTTTAATATTTATACCATAATCCCTGGGCTATAGTAATGAAGGATTTTAAATTTTTTTTTATTTTTTAGGTTTATTCTAAATTGTGTTGATACTGAGAAATTAGAGCAAAGTTATTTAAAAAGTAGTGAAAACAACTATCTTTTTCTTGTTCATTGTTTCTTCTGTGAAATATTATAGCTCATTTTAGAGAGAATCTCAATACTTTGAGTGTGAACTACTGAAATATTCTGTATTTGAAACTAACGTTGAGGTCTGCTTTTGAGTTAACTATTTATAAAAATATCACCTTTGAACTACATGGCTTTAGCTAGTTACTATTTAGATTTAGGAGAGGTGGGTAAGAACATGGACTCTGTAAGACATTAGCTACATGTTAAAATCTGAGCTCTGTCACTGAGTTGTATGACCTGAGTAATTAATTAAATTCTCCAGGTTTCCAGTCTGCTCATCTATTAAATAGAGATTAGCTACCTCCCAAAATTGTTTTGAATATTAATTGGGAAAATATATCTATAAAGTGCCTATTATAATGCTACACACATTGTAAACATCCATTAAATAGAATCTATTTTTATTGTTAATATAACTGTTAATATTAAGCCTTCTCTCCAGAAAGATAAATAAGTAGAAGTCAGGGGAGGCCTGTGAAGATTGGTTAGTTGCTGTACACTAAAGTAAGTGGAGAAGCTTTCTTAAGAGAACATAAACTTTGAATAGCACAGGTATGTATGGCTCATGTGATTGAAAATGAGCAAGGAAAGCAATCTAGGATGGGAAAATAGTAGCAGGAGGCAAGTGGGGAATTAACTGCTTAAGAAAAATTGAGTAAGGTAGGATAGAAGGAAATGATGTTTATGGTAATAAAGATTGATGTGACAGATAGAGAACAAAGTTACTGGAAGGCTTTGAGTGCCAGACCAGGGATTTGGACTTGATTCTGTAGGTAATGGTATGTCCATTAAATATTTTTATGTAGATAGGTCTGGAAGTAGGATACAAGATGATTTAGAGGAGTGAGAGGTAAAGATACTAATTAAGATATTATTAGAGTAGTCTTGGTGTGAGGTTGTGAAAACTTGGACTATATCTGACTTTATTGTCCATCCATTTTTCTTCTTGCATGTGAGATTATTTTTTAAAAATTGTTCGCTCATTTGTTATTCTAGTTGCATGTAGTTCTCTTTTTGTGGTATTGTCTTAGGTGGCAGGTACTGAAAAGTATAGATTGAGTTTGTGTTTTTATATGTGGTACTTGTATGCACCAGGACACAAGTATACATTTAATATGTCATAAATGATTTTTTAAAAGTTTAGTACTTATATCACTTTAGAAAAAACCACTAAGAAATGCTTAAAGTGTTAGAGTCACATTTTTATGAATAGATTGAGGTAGACTAAAGAAGTGAAATATCCTTTTAGATTAAAAAACATTGAATATGTTCATTTATATATATATATATATTTTTTTTTTTTTTTCCCCCTCCTTTTTGAGTCTCTCTCTGTTGCCTCTGCTAGCATGCAGTGGCTTGATCATAGCTCACTGCAACTTAAGACTCCTGGGCTCAAGTGATCCTCCTGCCTTAGCCTCCTGAGTAGTTGGGACTACAGGTGCATGCTACCATGCCCGGCTAATTTTTTAATTTTCTGTAGAGATGGGGTCTCACTCTTGCTCAGGCTGGTCTCCTGAGCTCAAGCCATCCTCCCAACCTTGGCCTCCCAGAGTGCTACGATTACAGGCGAGAGCCCACGCCTAGCCCTCTTTATATGTTTTGAAGTATTATTTCTGTTGCCAGAGGAGAACTTATAACTGCTTTATAAGGTTTATTACTGGGAAAAATCTTTTATTGTATTAAAAATTAATTATATAAATGACTTTTCAGAAGAGAATAAAAGTCACAAAATGTATGAATCTTTTGAAAGAGTTCTGAATTGAGAAAATCTTTTATTAAATAATTCAAATTGAATAATTTGAAACAAAGGCTTTCTGAAGTGGGAGGAACTGCAAAGATTATTTAGCTTAGTAGTTCTTAGAATGTAGTCAGTGACTGTCTTCCTGATGAGCCTAGAAATGATTCAACTTCTTGAAACTTTGATTTTTTATATATTTGCTAGATGAGTTATTCATGATCACCCAGATTTGGTGATTATTGAGCAAAATTAGTGTGTTAGAGTTTACTAAAAGCTTTTATCATATTCTGTGAAATCTGGCTATCTATAAAAATTGGCAACATTGTAGAGCTCTTGTATATGTAAATGGAAATTAATGGATTGTCCTAGTTTTTGCAACATCAAGTATTATTTTGAATGGGTCATAGTTTTTACATGTTGCTATTTATTTGTTGTTAATACTATTAGTTTAGTTTCACGATTATTGATTTATTATATTGTGTATTAATGATAGCATCTTTGTAACAATAGTATTTTTGTATACTGTTTCCCAATGCCTTTAGTATACAATTTCCCAATGCCTTTCAGACATTTATGCATTTAAGTCCAATTATAGATTATCTATATGCCAATAATCCTCCCAAAGTATTCCTGTACAATGGCACTTCATTAAATTTCACCATTGGTCATCGTGCTAGTTTCCTATTGTTTGTCTAACAAATTTAGTGGCTTTAAAACAGCATGAATTTATTAATTTAACAGTTCTGGAGTTCAGAAGTCTAAAAGCAAGGTGTTAGCAGGGTTGTGTTCTTTCTGAAGGCTTTGAAGGGAGAATCCATTTCCTTGCCTTTATTGGTGTCTAGAGGTTGCATTTATTCCTTGGCTTGTGGCCTCTTCCTTGTATCACTTCAACCTTGGGCTTTGGTTGTCACATCTCCTACTAACCACTTTGACCTGGTCTCCCTCTTACAAGAACCCTTGTGATTACATTGGGCCCACTTAGATAATCCACTCAGATAATCAGATAATGGCCTTTTATCAAGATCTTTAACTTAATCACACCTTCAAAGTCATTTTTACCATGTAAGGTAACATTCATAGCTTCCAGGGATTAGGATGTGGACATCTTTTGGTGGCCATTATTCTGGCTATCAGAGTCAGTGCTAACCTCTGGAGCAACCTAGCCTATTGGAAGCGGGTCCTATTGCTGGATTACCCAAAGTCTGGTCTGCCAGGGCATCTCACCTGGGGGGTTGACAGATAGACTGAAATCCTAAATTATGAAAATTCTTAGGTTTCAGATATCTCCTTATGTAAAGTAATAAAATAACTATAGAAATTTTAGTCACCATTTTATTACTTATATACTTATTCTCTCCTGTTAAAATAACTTCATTTTCCTGACAACTACTTGCTTTAACAGGCTACTTGCTTGTCACAGTTTGTATTAATCACACACTCAAGAATGTTAATAGACATTATCTTTTTTGAACATTTGATTATGGGAAATTTCAAATATATTAAAAAATAGATGGACTAGTATAATGCACTGCTATGTACTCAGTGCCCATCTGCAAGAATCATCAACAGTGTTCAACTCTGGTCAGTCTTATTTCATCTATACGCCCAGCCTTCCAACCCAGATTTTTTTGAGCAAATCTCAGATATATCATTCATTCATAAATATTTCAGTAT